ATCTCCTCGACCCCCAAACAGAAAGTTGTGACACTGGAGGAGCAGCAGAGGAACCACAGCAGTAACAGAACCCAGGGCCCAAGCATGAGACAGAGCGGTGGGTAGGGGAGCTAGAGCGAGTGACTTCAGGCTGAGGATTATGGTGGAGTGGTGTGTCTTATCGGCATTTATCAGTCGCTGACTGGAACAACTGTGCCCTGAGCATTTCTGGCCCCAAATTGTAATCTGTTAATTTCCCTAATAAACTCCATACCTGTGAATATGCTGTCTGAGTTCTGTGTGGCTACTGCAGTGCATTATTGAACCCAGCTAAGGAGTAGAGAGACTTGTGGGAGGAATGGATGGTGTTCAGTAACGTAATCACAGGTTCTGGGAATTGCCACAGCAACTTTACAAAATTATTAAGTCTAGACTTTACTTTAGATTTGGCTAGGATTTTCTGGTGACTCTATCTTCAAAATAGATCTGGAATTCTGTGACATTTCACACCTCCATTTCTATCACCTTGCCACAAGTAACATCATCTCTCACCAGGATTGCTTTTATATGATTATCCCTGCTCCATCCTTGCCCCCTACACTATTTCAGTGACGTATTCAGAGAGATTCTTTTAACACATCAGATTGTGTCTGCTCAAAAATCCTCCAGTGACTTCTTTTTACGGACAAAGTCTTGACAATGGCACTAAAAGTGGAGGCGAGCACATGGTCTGGTTCTTGCTGTCTTTTTCCTATCCAAGGATCTGGGTGGGAAAATGGGAGAAGGATGAACACCTTATGATTTCCTTGCTCATGGTGGTACAAACGGTTCCTCCTGTTTTTCTAGCTAATACCAACTTTCACCTGATGGATGCCATGTGGCTGGTATCTACATGCTCACTTTTCCATGGTGTGCAGATGTATGAGATTTTCAGGTGGGCAAAAAATGAGGTTCTTTGCCCCCACAAAAATTTTAAGCCTTGGAAACCCTATACAAGGTCGCTATGAGTTGGAAGTGGTTCAAAGGCACTTAACAACAAAAACAAGTGAAGGGCATCCTTATTGCAGAGTTTCTTATGGGGGAGATTCAAGTGGCTTTAACTCAACTTCAACACCCAGCAGTTACTGCCCAGGGTTGGCCCTTGGGTGAACCATCATTGAGACAGCTCGAGCCTGGTGACCATTGCTAATGTCAAACCAGATCCAAAAGACACTCACTAATCTTTGCCAGATTCAATGACAGGATCACAAGTTGACCTACAGGCATCCCTACCTCCACGCTGCCATATCTTTCCAATGTTCTTTTTCATTGTTGTTCAGGAGGCTAATAAGCCCACTTCCTAAATGAGATTCTTATCTTATTCCAAGTATTCACCAAAAATTCTCTTAGAGTCTTCCCTCATGTGATTTTGGTGCATGTAGGAAGGCACATTTCCCCCCACAGCTCCTCCTCTGCCTCTCAAGACTGCAAAGACCCTCTCCAAATTTCATGGCTGGGTTGGGGAAAGAAGGTGGGGCAAAGAAGGGTATAGATGAATTTGGTGATGGTGAAGGTAGTAACTATAGCTTATAAGCCCCAAGGAAGGGATGGCTCTCCAGAATGAGGTTCCTACAATCTTCCTCTTTCATCTTGGACTCAGCTCTCCAATGCCAGGAAATCAAAAAAAAACAACAAAAACACAACATTCATATACTGTTACAGTCTGTAAAGTCAATAGAGTCGACCCAGAGCTAAAGTGGAGTGAAAGGTTCAAGTTGAACAGAGGAAAATGTCATCTGCTGGTCAAAGAACAACCACCCATTGCCCAGATTTGTTTAACTGGAGAAGTTGTTATTTTTGGTTACTGTGTGAAGTCAGAGGTCAAGCACTACCATGACGTCACATCATTTTTACAGGGATTGAAGGTGTGTGTCGGGATTGAAACTGTGCAGTACAGGAAGGTGTGTGTCGGGATTGAAACTGTGCAGTACAGGAATGAAGAACCTGCTTCAAATAGACAAGATGATGTTTGTGTCCCAGAGACATGGGCAAGTGGAGAAAGAAGTATGCATGGGGAGCAAAAGTAGGCTTGGAATGAGTCTGGGGTGGCCTCAGGTGCTAGACTGGCTGAGGACTGGGACCATTATTGAGGTGGAGACTGGGACATGGAACAGACTGAGGGTGAGAGCTCAGTGGGCTCCGTCCTGTGAGAAGAGGACTGTAAACGGAAGTTTCAAACTAGAGGCACTCCTGTCAGACGTAAGAATGACGATGCCAGTGTGCATTCCCAGGAAGCAAAAGGTCAGGATGTCAATCATTTGTTCAAGGGAAGAATGTGTCACATGTAAACAAGTATTTCCCAGGAGTGGGGGTTGGCATGAGGAGATGTGGTCATTCCTGACTGTAATCATGTATAACCAAACTGACTGGTGCCGCTCACTTAGATGGTAACTCACCCCTCCTAGCCAAGAGACCAACACTGACGTTTACATTTCTAAGACCGTCAAGAGGAAGCTGAAAGCTGATCTTATCTGTAATCAATCATTAACCTCCTACCTTTCCTCTGTTCTGTACGTATAGAGACCTAGCTTTCTATTTGAATGGAGTTGTCCTTTGGCTCCAGCTATATTATTACTCAACAAAACTCCTTTTCTTCCACTCCTAACAGAGTAGGAGATTTTCACCTTTCACAGTGCTTTCTCAAGTCTTCCTATCCAGACCAAGAAACAACAGATTCAGACAGAGGTTGTAGCACTTGTGTACTTGTGAAGTTGTAGAGCAAGCGAGAGCCAGGGCTATTCAGACAGCTTGGTCAGAGGTATAGATTCAGCTCAACTAGCCCCAGCTTTAAAAGGGAGATCTGCTTATTTTACAATGAACAAATGATAAGAGGCATGCTTTCTTACATTTTGGCATGAGGTCCGGAATGTCCAGTGACAAACTGGTATGTTATCAAGAGATTTCCTATCCTGAGTCTTTTGCTGCTGTCATGGCATGTGGGCCCTGAGGTACCTCTGAGGGGAGCAATAATCAGTCCCTTTGTGATAACAATGAAAATCCTTGGGATGGTATGATATGACACGATGTGAGGGGCATTGGTTAACTCTTGGCAGTGCTTTGAATGCCTAGGGCACAACACCAAAGAAAAAGTCAACTTTGTAAGCTTTCTCAGAACAAATCTGAGAGAATTCGCTGGTTAATGCAAATACGTGTCCAAACAAGTCCTGGAGTGCTGAGGGAGTATGAGGACCTGGCAAGATTCACTTGGCATGAAGAGTGTGAGCAAGCTTCATTTTAATGGGGGGGGGTGTTCTTGGGGATCTATAATGAAGAATATGTGGTGTTTCCCATGTATCTCTTTGGAACGTTGTCTGATTGTACCCACAGTGGAATAAAATCCATCAGGAAGCATGTCATTTCTGAAACCTCTGGGGGCTGTACACGGTGCAAATAATTTAATGGCATATAAATGAATTTACAGAAAAATACCCAGAGTTCCCAGAGCAAAGAGCGTCCTTCCCCACAGGGAAACAAATATGAATACACTTAAATAGGAAGACTATTTTTTCTTGGTGTCGGGGTGGGATGATGGTGATGAAGGGTTGATTTTTAAACGAATTCCTTAGGCTGTTCCAGATATGTTCCAAACATTATATCATCCCTGAGATACATGTGTAACTTAACTATGTGATTCTTCTGAAAGGTAACAGCCAATTGAATATCAAGTTACAGGTATAAATCACAGAAATTCTTCATTATAAAGTCTTATGACTATAGTCATACTACACTGTAATCCCTGGTCATTTGCACATTTTCTACCAGATAAAGAAAACACTAAAGGTTTCAGATGGAGAAAAATATAGAAAGTGACTAAAGAAAGTGGTTCATTGACTAGTTGATTAAGCGGTACATGGCCAGACAAGTGGACACTGACCCTATCTGTTCTGGGCCCCACAGTCTGGACATCCTCTGAGATACAGCCACAGGGCAGGATTTCCTAATAGCAAACACTCTCTCTGTTCAGGTCTGGGCCACTATGTGATCAATTGTACAAACTATGTGAAGTGCTGTACTGACCTTTTTATTTCTGGGCTGGTGGGAGCAAAATGCTCCACAGAGAATGGGCCTCCCAAAGTGCTCTGGGATTTTGGCTGGGATTACAAACCATTCTGGGGTGTTAGGAAAAACGTGTTATCCAGTCCTCCAGGCTTAAAAGAAGAGAGGGTGACCCAGATCTCAGGACAAAAGAGTCTCAAGAGGCAAAAACGCTGGTGGGAGGGGCCTCTTCTCTATGTGCTAATGTATCTAAGAGGACTTGGAATTGTAGAGAAAAGTTATGAAATTTACTATTTTAAGATAAATAACATTTGCAAAGTTAAAACATGGTACAGATGAAAATTAATGTGAAGTCAAAATTCTTTTCAGATAAGCTTGGCCCCTCACACTTGGAACTTAAATAGTGCCCAGTGGACCAATTGTAGATTCCTTGCGGTTACTGCAATACTATAACAAACAAAAAAACAAACCACCTAAAACAAAAATCTACCAGTTGAATACATTCTATGTGTAATAGCTAATTCTGGAGTAGTGTTTGAACTAACTCAGGAAAATTCACATTTTCACTTGCTTTGTATAAAGTTCAAAGTCACTCCTGGAAGAGGTCATGTTTTCCTGGCCTTATTTTGTTTTCTAGAACTCCCTCACCCCCAACAAAAGCAACACCAATAATCCCGAACAAAGCAGTTCTTAAGCAATAAAAATGGTGTCCAAGAAAAACATTTAGTTTGAAAAGAGGGTCGAATGCAGCCTTGGAATAACCACTGCTTACATGGGATTGTTCAACAAATTCCTGTTGTGTGAGGTTTGGCATATACTTTCTAAAAATGTAAGCATCTGGGGAAACGAGACAAAGCCCAGGTCTTGGACCAAATGAGGCACACAGTGTGAATCTGTTAGTGATTATATCCATAATGAAATATGTGCCCGAATTTAGCAGTGCAAAATCTAATACACTATGAGAACCCAGCAGGCACACTCCTTACCATAATATATAACCGACAGAGAAGGTACAGATGGCGGGGAGGCCAACACTCCTGCTGGGATACTGATGGTGCGATGTCCTCATCTCAATTAATATAAAGGGCAAAACCGTGGTGTGCTGAAAAAGAAGAGAGACCAGGTGACACCGAGTCTTATCATCACCCCTCAGTAGTGTTTCATCCTTCACCAGGAGAATTAACAGCGTAAATTCCTAGGAAACAGACACAACAGGAAGTTCACCAAAGAGGCAGAAATGTCATGAAAACGTGGAGCAGATCAATTGCTCCATTGATACTTTTCTTCTGGATCTTAATATCTGAAACTGTATTTGGAGTTCATTAGGCCTGTTAAAGGAAATTTGGGTAATGTTAAAAAAAACAAAACAAAACAAAAATATAAAAACAATTGGAAAGGGAGAAATAAACACTGTTTACATGTTGCTGTTAAGTGCTGCTGAGTTGTTTCTGACTTATAGTGAGCCTGTATAGGGTTTCCAAGGAGTAGCTGGCGGTTTAAACTGCCAATCTTGTGGTTAGCAGAACAGTGTTGATCCTATAGAGCCACACCATTATGATATACCAATACGTCTTGCTATTTCTCCTTCTTATATTATTTAGGAGTCCTGCTGCGACATTGTAGGATAAGCACTGGATACATAGTTGAGCTCATACTGTGTAAGCAATTTTGTTTTGGATTTTAATCACATTGTAGCATGAGAAAATTTGGTATGCCATTTTAGGAATCCATCTAGAATATCAACTCTACTCAATGTATCTAGCCATTTCTTGTTCTTGGACATTAAATGATAATATTTACACCTTTTCATTTATTAATGTCATAATGATTTTTTTCCCAGAAGTCTTTGTGTGACTGTATATTAAATTTTTTAAAAAATGTTTTATTGTGAATTATGTGATAGTTTACATGGGAGGACATTAGTTTTACATTCATCGTATCGTATATCATTTCACTGCCATGGTTACAATCCCCTCTATACATCATCAACCAACCAAAAGGTACTCCCTGCAAGCCTGCCCCCAACACCCCCGTCATCAGCACACAGCCCCCCTCTCTCTCTGGGTCTAAAGTCCCCAACTGCTCCATCTCTGGCATTGCTGCTTCTCTGGGTAGGGTCCTGCTCTCTGCTCTTCTCCCTTGATGGCCCCAGGGACCTCTGCTCCTAGACTGCAAAGTTAATCACTCCCCTCCTTGCTACAAAATGTCAACCTTTACATTTCCAACCCTCACAATCAGTTCTGTTAACAATTATTCACTATTGTATCACAAGAGACCTATCCATATTTCCTTTCATCAGACCTGCCTAGACAAATTGGATACTAATCAGTGGAGATTCTACCTTCTTCCACGCTCTCTGGATCTAGGTTCCCTCTTGAAAGCTTGAAAGCCAGTCACTTCTTGCCTTTGTAGCCCCCCACTTTGGGTAGCCAATGTCTAATGGACTTGCAAACTTTCTATGGTGATATTTCTGGCTATTCCTTTCTCTCCCCCTCCAGTGTCTATTTTATAATGGTTGTTGTTGTTGTTGTTAAGTGCCGTCGAGTCAGTTCTGACCCATAGCGACCCTGTACAGGGTTTCCAAGGGTGTAAATCTTTACAGGAGTAGAAA